TCTTGAATGCATTTGGGTCAATATTAAAGGGGGAGGGAATGACATTGCCATAGGTCTATACTATAGGCCACCCAACCAAACAGAGGAAGTAGATGAACTTTTTGCTAATCAGCTAACTAAAGTATGTAGGAAGCACATCACAATAGTAATGGGGGATTTTAACTACCCAGACATCAACTGGGAGACAAACTCTGCACCAAGTGGAAGATCCAACAGGTTCCTAACAAACATAGCAGACAACATTGTTTCCCAAAAAGTAGAGAAGGGAACAAGGTGTTCAGCCATATTGGACTTAATTTTCACTAACAGAGATGAAATGATAGGTGTTGAAGCTATAGGAACCTTGGGGGCAAGTGATCATGCAATATTGGAATTCAACATTATGCAAACACAAGTAGTAGAACAAAGTCAAATAGAGCCTTGGACTTTAAGAGAGCTAATTTCAATAAACTTAGAGCTTGGAAAGGATTCCATGGATGAGAATCCTCAAGGGGAAAACAACTCAAGAAGCGTGGGAAATTTTGAAAAGTGAGTTTATAAAAGCCCAGGCTGGCACAATACCAATGAAGAAGAAAAATAATAGCTCTCAAAAGAAACCAGCATGGCTGCAAAAAGAACTCTGACAAATTGAAAGACAAAAAGGACAAGTATAAAAAGTGGAAAGAGGGGCAAATAACTAAGGCAGAATATCAATAAATAGCCCGAGTCTCTAAAGATGAAGTGAGGAAAGGCTCACAATGAACAAAGGCTTGCGACAAAAGTAAACAAATAACAAAAAAGCTTCTTCCAACGTGTTTAAAAACAAGAAAAAAGTCAAGGAAATTATTGGTCCATTGCTGGGAGAAAGTGGCAAGGTGACAAGCAACAGGGAGAAAGCAGAACTGCTTAACTCGTTTTTTGCATCTGTCTTTACACAAAGGGAAAAAACAGTCCATCCTATCAAAAACAGCACCACAAAAAACAGATTAGGAACACAAGTTAAAATAGGGAAGAAAATGGTAAGTGAACATCTGTCTACCCTAGACGAGTTCAAATCACAAGGACTGGATGAATTACACCTCAATGTTCTGAAGAAATGGCAGATAAGATCTCAGAACCATTGAACTATATCTTTCAAAGATCCTGGACCACCGGGGAACTGCCAGAGGACTGGAAAAGAGCTGATGTATTTCCCATATTCAAAAAAGGGGAAAAAAAATAGATCCAGGAAACTACAAACTTATCAGCCTGACCTCAAGACCAGGGAAGATTCTGGAAAAGATAATCAAGCAACGAATCAGCGAACACCTAGAAGCAAACAAAGTAATGACCAAAAGCCAACATGGGCTTGTCAAAAACAGATCATGCCAGACAAATCTTATTACATTATTTGACAAAGTGACAAAATTAGTGGACCAGAGAAATACTGTTGATATAATTTACTTGAACTTTAGTAAGGCATTTGATAAAGTAGACAATAACCTGCTACTAGATAAAGTAGAAAAATGTGGGTTAGACAGCATCACCACCAGATGGATCCGTAACTGGCTAACCAACCACACTCAAAGTATAGTCCTCAATGGAACTGCATCTATATGGATGGAAGTATGCAATGGAGTATCCCAAGGCTCTGTTTTAAGTCCAGTACTCTTCAACATCTTCATTAATGACTTGGGCGAGGGGATAGATGGGGAACTTATCAAATTTGCAGATGACACCAAACTGGCAGGAATAGCCAACACTCCAGAAGATAAGCTCAAGATACAGAAGGATCTTGACAGACTTGAACATTGGGCGCTATCTAACAAAATGAAATTCAATGGTGAAAAAAGTAAGTTTCCACATTTAGGCAAGAAAAACAAAATGCAGAGGAACAGTATATGTGGTACCTTGCTCAATAGTAGTAACTGTGAGAGGGATCTTGGAGTCCTAGTGAACAACCATTTAAATATGAACTAGCAGTGTGCTGCAGCTGCCAAAAAAGCCAACACAGTTCTAGGCTGCATAAACAGAGGGATAGAATCAAGATCACATGAAGTGTTAATACCACTTTATAATGCCTTGGTAAGGCCACAGTTGGAATACTGCATGAAGTTTTTTGTGGCCACAATGTAAAAAAGATGCTGAGACTCTAGAAAGAGTGCAGAGAAGAACAACAAAGATGATTAGGGACTGGAGGCTAAAACATATGAGGAACGGTTGCAGGAACTGGGTGTGTCTAATTTAATAAAAAGAAGGACTAGGGGAGACATGATAGCAGTGTTCCAATATCTCAGGGGTTGCTACAAAGAAGAGGGAGTCAGGCTATTCTCCAAAGCACCTGAGGGCAGGACAAGAAGCAATGGGTGGAAACTAATCAAGGAGAGAAGCAACTTAGAACTAGGGAGAAATTTCCTGACAGTTAGAACAATTAAACAGTGGAACAACTTGCCTCTAGAAGTTGTGAATGCTCCAACACTGGAAATTTTTAAGATGTTGGATAACCATTTGTCTGAAGTGGTGTAGGGTTTCCTGCTTAAGCAGGGGGTTGGACTAGAAGACCTCCAAGGTCCCTTCTAACTCTGTTATTTTAAAGTCATATGGAGTAATATTTAAAGAAATATACACAAATGTATTGATATTCATCAGGATAATACTGCCGATCTCTGAACTACATCAGCAATATATATGCAGGCCTGCAGTAAGACCCTCTTTTTCATATCAACCACATCTATTTCAGTTTTTCACAAAAAGTCCTGAAATGTTTTCCAAATGGAAATAAAATTTGTCAAACTCTTTTCTTTCATCAAGGCTATCATTTTCCATCTTTGCCAATTTTACCAGTTTCACCATCCATTCTTCTGCTGTAGGTATTTGTAAGTTCTTCCACCTAAGAGCATATAAAAATCTTGCTATTACTAAATATAAAAAAGTAATTCCATAAGATGAATCCATTTGTTTGCCTATTAAGTCTACAACAAAGATTTCAATTGTATATTTACTTTTAAAATCTTCTGCATCAAATTACATAAGACTCCACCTAACCAACTTGCTCAGACTGAGGAAGCTGCTTCAATGAGCAGAAAAATGACTGAGATTAACAAATATAAATCCAGTTGCCACGACTCAATCTTCAGCAATATATCAAATACTTATTTATCCTAATATTTTCTAGCTTTGTTCCATGTCCAGGAATAATGAAAAAGTGTTCTGTCAGTTTGACTACATTTCAAGCAATTATTTGAAATCCCTTTACTTTTTTTGACAATTTATGTGATGTCATATATCAATGATACATCATATTGTAAATGTTTTAAGATTACATATCAGTGTAAATTTCAATATTTTCTTCCACATACACTCCCATGTTTCCAATTTATATCTATTTTTGCCCATTTTATCATACAATCTTTAACTTATTGATCCTCCATTTCCATTTTCAATATATGTATATACATTTTGGGAATAATATGATCATAATTTACCCCTTTCAAAGTCATAATCATAATAGCTCAGTAAAACAGGTTCAGGAAATGTTTGCATTCCCACTGACATCACTCCAAGGGAATACCTCAACCCAGAGATGAGGAAGAAAAAAAATATTTTAAAAAAAGTATTTATAAACTCAATATTTATAAATGAGATGTAATACTGTAATGTACATCTGAGATAACACTATATCTGAAGCCTTCATTATATTGCAGATTGGAAGTTTTACAAATTTTGGAAAATTAAAAAATAGATTAACAGGGTCCAGAAGGATTTAGAATTAAAAAAATTAAATTAATTTTAAAAATATTTTCTGTATTTGAGTTCTTTGGGGAAAATAATGATAGCAGGGGACTTTGAAGGTTGGACACTAGACTAGAGGGATCTAGAAAAAAATAAAAATTACAATTAAAAGAAAAGAATACATAACAAAAAATGGAGTAAAATAACAGTGGGTAGTTTGAGGGACAGTTTTGAACAATAGATTGAGAAATTAATTTTAAGAATATCTGATACTATGGATAAATGGTGTGTTAATCATGTCACAGAAGGAAAAACTATACTGATAAGATTGAAATGCGGGTTTAAATATCACAAGTTGCAAGAAAAATATGAAACAAGATGATATATCCGATATACAAATGAAACCAGGTGATGTCTTAACATTTAAAGGTGACAAACAAGTATCAAACCAGCAGAATTATTTGGATAACTGTTTCTTATTGTATCAACAAAAGAAATATGTTGAAGTCTTTAATGATTTTCTGAGAAGGGACAAAAAGAAAATGAAATAAATCAATTTCTATGACATTTGATGGAATTAAAAACCAAGATTACTAAAAAATAAAAATATGAAAAATAAAACATAGGGAAGGAATATAGAATTGATTTATTTCAGCAAGGTTAAAACAGATATGAAATTTTGGTAATCTTTAATGGACTTTTGCTGTCTTTCCTGTGAATTAAATGCCATCTGCTGGACAAATGTAAAACTATTTTTCATGTCCTTGTTCTTCAAGATGCACAAGACTATTTCCTAAGAAATTAACACACTGCAATAGATTCTTAACAGCTGATGTGGGAACACATTTGTTAGGATGCTTTAGTTTGCATTCCTAAATTAAGAAGACCCATCACAAGACCTTCTGACAAAGTCCTTATAAACAGAAATACACTCCGTTGAAGATGTTATTACCTAGCCTGGTAACGAAACATTCAGAAACCAACCAACAAGCTTGGAAAATGAACCTTCACCCTCATCCTACAGCCAAGCTACAGATATTCACCATTATTGTAGTATGGGTCTCCAAAAATGCATTATCAGAAATGGAAAATTCGAAACCTGTTTATTTCTGACAGAACTCTACTTTTTATCATCATGTATGCACTGCAGCCCCCCCTCCCTCTCATCCATACACCTGTGGTCCTCAAAAGGTGATGCGGAAAAGAATGAAGGCTTTGCCTCATCCATTCTGGACTGTAATAAAAAAGCAAATGTATATGTATATGATTATAGACTATGCTGAATATTAAAAGAGAATTGAGACATTAGATATTTTTGAGAATTTTATTGTAGAATGAGCATTATAAAAATGTTCCATTTATTTTTGTTTCAAAAGCCTGCTGTTGAGATCCATCCTGAAGCAACGAAAGAAACATTTAGTCCAAGAACAAGTAAAATTTGCGCTTAACATAATCCATCAAATATTGTAACAATTCTTAAGAGTACCATATGAATGCAAATTTTATGTTAAAAACATTCATATATACCAGTAATGTATATTTATTTAAAATTGCTTTAATTGTTAATATTTATTTACTAAGGATTTTATTTACTTATAGTACTAATGTCAGGATTACCAGTAAAAGAAAGAAGACATATATTCTTTCAAAGAATAAATGCAAGATTTGTTACAAGAATACAAATCAGGTTTGATAGGCAAAAATAAACACAAAATTGTTACACTATTTCAGACATGCTATTTCATAGTTATTTATCATCACAGATTCAGCATAAGTTATGTTTTTCTTAAAGGGTCTTCAAATTGAAATGCTTTTGTATTTGCAGCTAATAGCTTAAAACTTAATACCATTGTATATAAAGTTTTCATAGCATAGGTAAGTTTCACATTTAAACATAATTCTCCCTCAAGTACTTTATAATATTTTTTTAATGTACTATGTGGAGATTTGCTGTTAAAAAGATTTACATGCACGTATAGTTCTTAAAACTCTTTTTGTAATTTTTAATACCCATTTGAAAAGGATTTGTCATACTACCACTAAAAGATATCAATCCCAGCAATGCGTGTTCTTTTGGTAAATAAATGAAAGATCAATCAAAAGAATAAAATATGTTAATAAGCAAAAATACAAAGTTATTATTCTTGTACATTTCATATAACATTTCAAAGATATCATCAGAATAGTTTCCAAATTAATAATCTATATAGTTAATTCAATTTATTGTTAAAATAGAATCACATTTGATGATATATTGCAGTTAATAGCACAGGAGGCAATTCCATTATATGTAAAGCTTTTCATAGCCCATTTTCCAGTTGGATGGATTTCAGATGAAGATTTCCAATGCGATCACATGCCATTTATAGTTGAGATTTCTCCTTTCCAGAGAAGGAAGTTTGTGTATAAGTATGAATTTGATCCTAGAAGCAACATAATTAAAAATAACTTTTTAATATACAATTCATAACTAATTTTAGTTGTACTCATGCTTCTTTAACTACATTTTAGAGAAATGAATGATGAAATACTAACATATTCCTGCTCGTTGGTACTTTCTTTACTAACTACCTGTACTATCACACAGCCATAGGGATTCTGACAGCTACTGATTTTTATAGATACTTTTAATTCCATTGAAATAGAACTTCTTTCAACCTACTTAATTCAATTTGGAATCCGTATATTGTACAGATAGTCCTTGATTTATGCCTGGTTGCTTAGCAATCGTTCAAAGTTACGATGGAGTAAAAAAAAAGTTACTTATAACTCTTTCTTGAAGTTACAACTGCTACACCATCCATATCGTCATGAGATCGCATTTCGGGGCTTGGCAACCAGACTGGCTGCAATGTCACATCTCATGTGAATATGTTTTGCATTTTTTTTACCATTTTCTGGTAAAAACTGACAAAAAATGCCCATTGAATAAGCTGAATTCGGACTTATGACTATGCAATTCATTAAACAACCCGTGACTCACTTAATAACCATCATAAAAAGCCATAAAATCAAATCCTGTCATGTGGTGACTCAACATATGATCACAATGATTATTGACCAAATTTCTGAGCTCAATTGTGGTCATAAGTAGAAGACTGCTTGTAGTAACATATTTGTTGTTTGTTTTCAACTTTGTTCTTCAAGATCCTCTCACTCCTCCTTTGAGCCAGCCATTTATGCCATCTATGCCTTACTCCATTTTCAATTGCTTAATCTCTACTTACTTTCAACAGTAATCTGAATGGATAATGTTTTCTTACCTTTCTTTTCCCTTTAGCATTGTGTTTATCCAGATGGGCTTGAATGCATGCACCATAATCAGGATGAACATCCATAAAGTTTTTCACCTGGATTGAAAAAGGAAGTTTAGGTCATTTGTCTCTTTTTCTAATACCTGTTTTTATAAGGACAAGTCAATTGCTTTTGGCACAGAGATCTGAAATTTCAGCACGTCTGGACTGTACTTATTTCAACTACTGGTAATAGCAGAAGTACCATTTTTCAATTTATCACATATAACTGGTCAACTAATCAGGCTATAACTGACAAAAACGCTAAATATAATTTTTACAAGAAAACATTTACCTTTCCATGTTACATTTAACCAAGTACATGCTAAACATAATTACATCTCACTTTAAAAGGCTATATCATTAAGGGTTTACTTTTCTACCCAAAGTGAGACATATTCAACATCGAACTTGGTCTGGACTGCAAACTGAACACTTATAGTTTCAGTAGTTTTCAAACATAAAATATTGAAAAGGCTCCAACAAAATAATTGTAAAAATAATTATTCAGAAAGAAACTTAATTAGGCACCTTAAGAAAAACCTTAGGATTGCAATCCAAAGCAATTACTACTAAACTAATTTATTTCAACTAAAAAAGTGGAAGTTCACTGATCAAGGATCTTTACACAGTTTGATATCACCAAGCATAAACTCACTACCACAAATCTTTCTAAGAAAAGAAACTCGCAAATCAGAGTCAATCTCTCTGTGCTATACATCGTTTGACCAAAATATCACATAAGGAGTAGAAGAAACAGCATGCTGAATTGCATAGAAATCAATATGAATTTTTCAGCAACATGTTTTTCAAGTATTTTCTTTAAACTGTCAGCAGCTGTGGAGTTTTGTACCCTCCAGAATAGTGGTCTCCAACCTGTGGGCCACGGCACACTACTGGACCATGGCCTCTTAGCCACCAGGACACATGAGTGGCATACCCCCTCACTCACGATAGCATTGCCGTGAGCGTTGTGCAGACGTGAATGTCGCCACGAGCATTATGTGGGTGCCACTCACGTGCGCACTCGCAACCAGGTTCACACATGCTCATGCACACATAAAGGCACCTGCCCCTCCCTCCCTCCGGGCCTCCAACTAAGAAAGGTTGGGGAACTCTGCTCCAGAACACATACCCATTATAGTAAAAGAAACATTTAAAACAGAACAAATGTAGCAACCATCTATGTTTTAAAAAATTGCAGAGAATGCACACATACATAATCCATACCACTAACATTAAAAGAGATTTGCAGATGTATATTTATATATAAATAAGTTATGTGTAATACATTTAAATACATGTATATATTCTGACTGATAACACATTCAAATACATATGAACACATACATTTATATTTATTCATATTTATGGTATTTATAGATATTTTTACAAAGAGAAGGCATATGATAAGGAACAATACGGAAGCTTGTTACTTCCTGAATGTGATAAATTGTTAGAACTTTGTGTCAGAGAAAAATATCATAGATTAATTTCGTTATTTTGAACCACTCATATAATACTTCTATTCTGAGCCATTTCATACATCTGTGAGTAAGAACCTGAAACTACAGTAGAAAGCCTATGTTTCAGCTAATGAATTTCATGGTATTTTCATCTCTTTCAAAGCATTGTGACTGGAATAACATATAATAGCCTGAAGACAAAGATGACTTTGACTGGAGGGCGGAGATCTTAACTACTGAATATATTACAGAAAAGTTATTTGTAAGAACCACCAAATATATTCTTTAAAAATCCTGTGGCAGGCAGAAGGCAGAATTCTTACATATTGGAGATACAATTTTGGGTAAAAATTTGATCCAACAATTAGAATATTCGCTATTTACTCATTTATCAATCACATTTGTATAGCTGTCCATCTCACATAACATCTCTAGGAGACCAGTACAAAAAGTACAAATATATGGAAAAAAATGTACAATCTTTTTTTGTAATGGTTTTACAACCATTAAATTAAAAAGATGAAAAGAGCATGCATTCCAATGAAATATTATATAATCATATAAAAGGCACTCACTCTATCATGGCATGCCTAGGCCATTTGACAAAATCATGTTTTAAGGGCTCCTCAGAAGTCCAGTAGGCTTGGGACCAACTTTACTTTGGGAGGGATGATATCCCATAGGGCAAGGGCCATTAATCCCACTTTAAAATTACTCTGGACTATCTAATTCTGTTCCAGGTTTATCTTTTGTGGCAAGATGGAGCACAGCTCTAACTAAATCACATGACAGAGGTTTTCTGCTAGGTCTTCCATTGTATAATTGATATTTTTCATATAATTTTATCATCATATTGTAAAGAAGTACTTTTCATTCTTAATTTATGTGGCTTTAACCAGATATATATTTTTATACAATATACCGTATTTTTTAGAGTATAAGACACACTTCCCCCGCCCCCTCTGAATGTAGCCCACCAGCCCCCACCCTTTGGCCTCTGCCTCCCAGCAATCTACCTCCTTGTAGCAAGCAACAAACAGCAAAACAGCCCATTTCAGCTTCAGCACAGCCTGATAAGCACAAGCAGTTGATTGTCGGATGGGCCTCCCGACCCTCAGCTGTTTCAGGATGCAGGGATTGCCATTGCCTATTGCCATGCGGGCCTCCGCTGCTTGCTGCAAGCAGGCAAATTACTGGGAGGCAGATTTTTTTTTTCTTGTGCTGAAAATGAAAATGAAACTAAAGCAGGCTGTTTGCTGCAACAAGGCAAACTGGGAGGCAGGGGCAGAGTTATTGTGAGTGTTTTATGGTCTTTGTTTCTTCTTTGTGTCCTTTTGTTGTAAAATTTCTGTCTAGAATCAACAATTAGCTGGAATTTAAAAAGCATTTCACTAACTTAATTAAAATGTTATTGGAAGGAAAATAAAGAGGGGGGGAAGCTTTACGTCTAACAGATTGCATGCTGAATAACTTACTGATTCTGATTACAATACCAATCTATGCAAAGAAAAAAAATTAAAACAGTTCCAAACTGGTAAAATTTCATATTATTTCCCATATCCATGCACTAACGTATATCTTGTTTTCCTCCCCAAAAAAAGGTAGGTGCGTCTTATAGTCAGGAGCGTCTTACACTCCGAAAAATACGGTATATCATACAACTGAGGATAATTATAGAGTTTTATCATTTAATGATATCACAGCAAACAGATCTTAATTAAAGCCTATGCTGTATATTAACTTATATGGTAGGGTTGTAGAGCAATTCAGATTCAAAAGCCAGCATATGATTTGGAGGGCATGCTGCACAAAACACCTTGAAACTAAAAGTCTTTATCCAGATTTGTATGATAGCAGATATGTGAGACCAAGAAAAGACACAGCTGCTTTATAACAGATGATATATATGTACCTCTGCATGCTCCAAAGCCAATGTTGCCCCTCAAACCAGAATCTCTGTACAGCTTGACATGTATTATGTTATTACTTACAGCTTTCTTCTGGATGAAAATCTGGGCATCCTTAAGATGGTTAGCAAGGTTCTCGCAAAGCCTCTTACGCTCTTCCTCATTCAGTACTTTGACAAAGAAATCTCGTACCTTTCAATAAATAGTAAAAGCAAACATTACCGATATACCTTCTGCCTGTAATAGAAATTTTCTATAATTCCAATTTCATCAACAGTATCAACCTCAATTATTACATAAATCAGAATAAACTGATAGCTATTTATGATTATCATGGAATTCTCTCTGAAATTTAGAATGTGAAAAGTTCTTTGTAGGATTGTTCTTTCATGTCATGTTCATGTGATTGTGATTTGTGATATAGTTTGCTGGTTTCTGGTGAAAACATTCATTTGAAAAAACCCCGAGTTCATTTAACAACTGTAGATTCATTTAATGACCATTGATTTGCTTAATGACTGCCACAAAAATGTTATAAAATCAGATCCACTGATGAGAGTGCTTTAACTTCCAACAATAATCCCACTTCCAATTGTGTTCAAGGACTACCTCTAAATTTTTTTTTATAAAAGGGAGGGGGATATTGAAAGATCAGCAGTATAGAGGATTGGTACCTTATAGTAATTTTGACTAAACCAGGAAAATAATGGACTGACTCCACGAGGCTGAATGATCTCACTTTTACACCTGGCTCCACTTGTGGAGAAAATCAAGTAACAAAAATTGAGAGCAAACGGGAAACCAAAGCTTAATTAATTTAGGATAGAATTATATCAAGCAAGTGCTCTCAAACTTTTGTTTTAAATTAGGTACTTGGAAGACAAACAAAAAGAATGCTGATGATAAATTTACCTTGCTTAAAAAGAGAGAAAAATAATTTACAGAGACAATTCATTTCTAAAATAACAGCATTTCTAATTTATTTACTTGAGAGACGTTATCCTCAACTGAACTATTAAAGCGTTGTACATCGCCTGCAGTAGCTGAACGGCTCTCCTTCAAGGCGGGTTGATCCTCAGGGCCAGTAAAGCTGTTTGGGTAATAGTTTGGAGCACCACCTGGGGGGAAAAATTACAATAGATTAGGGGACAGATAGAAGCAGCAAAGAATGCAAGAGTATCAGCTCTGAAAGTGCATCACTATGTCTCATAGCCAAAAATTTGTTTTAGCAAGCTAATGGCATTTCTACAATGCCTGAATTTCTTCATACTAAGTCTATTCCTAGCTGGTTCCAATTCCCAAAACAAACAACTGTTTAGGGCCTGTTATTATCTTGACAATGTTAAAGAAAACAGCTTGAAGGTGAAATTACTGTGTGAGGTTGGCTCCTAGGCATATTGAATGAGCCTTCACACAACATCCAGATCTAAACATTTTTACACATCGATATAATAAGAATAAGAGAGAAATAAAAATAAAAATGAATAGTTGATTAAATTGTAGTGTCAATGTAAATGAAGAAAAAGCACCTGCAAGGTTAGTTTAAATTGCCTCCACAGCCTAGCTCCCAAATGTTATTCAGATTTACCCTGGTTATCAGATATGCACATAAACCCATCTCTCTGGTAGTGGGCCACTCTAGCTCGATATGGACAATTTACAGGAATTTGCAGGTAATTCGGTCCCAGGCGGTGTCTGTGGGTGTCTGGGTATGAGAAAAGACGACCCTAGAAAAATATATTACAGGGATAAAAGTGAGGTAGCAGACAGCTTTTTCCTAGGTTTTATTCAGACTGCTTTTCAATACTTTCTGCCTGCCTATGTCATCATTGCTTTTTTTTTTGAGAGAGAGAAAGAGAGAGAGAGAGAGAGAGAGAGAGAGAGAGAGGGAGAGGGAGAGAGAGAGAGAGAGAGACTATTGCTTATCCTACCCTACGTGAGGGGGAAAAGTCTTGATTTCAGAGGACCCAGGAACATGGCCCAGAAGCAAACCTGTAAAATCAGATCAAAGGCATCTCTTCAATATAGCAGAAAGAGGCAACCCAATTACAAGGATGTTTTTGATGCTTTCATCAATGCCCCTCCCACTCTTTTTTAAAGTACTTTATAACCTGACAAGCCCAGAAACCCTGAAACTGAAGCAATGAAACAGTCATCTCTGCTCACTTAAGTCCAGCTTTCACAGGACATTTTTAACAGTTTCACATACTAATTATATACATACATACATTGAAACAATGTAATTAAACCAAATAAATCTTACGGGCCCTGTCAGCGCAGTGGTTAGAATGCAGTATTGCAAACTAATTGCCCACAGCCTGAAGTTTAATCCTGACAGGCTCAAGCCTTTCATCCTTCCAAAGACAGTAAAAGGAGGACCCAGACTGTTGGGGGCAATAGGTTGACTCTGTAAACCACTCAGCGTGTATTGTAAAGCACGATGGCGCAGAATAGAAGTGCTATTGCTAGTGCTATCTACACTTTTCATTAATTAAATATATCTAGAATGAGAGTCTTATCCTGACCAAACAACTTCCTTGTGTCAACCTCTGCCAGAGTTTAAGAGTAAATAATGAATGGTGTTCTTTTTACCAATTGTCTTAATATTCAGAGATGGGAACAAAAAAACCCCACACACCAAAAATTGAAAAGCATGGGACAAAGAAAAAAATTCTAATACCAAACAGATTGAGGTTAACTTGTTTTTATTATTGCAAAAGTTATCTGAGTGAGAGACTGAGTTGCCTAGTCTCACAATTAAATGAATAGGAAAAAAATCTATTCTGATTACCTGTAACATTTTATCAGGGCTAGGTTCAATTCCTGGAGGCATGTTGCTTGGGTCAAAGGCCAATTGTTCCACTTCAGCAAAATAATTGACAGGATTTCGGTTTAAGACAATTTTTCCCACAGGAATGAGAGGATAATCTTTGTGAGGCCAAACCTGGAAAATATAACAGGGATATTTTATTTTACTACATTCAGCTTGGACTTGCAAGGTATACTGTATGCTGGAGAAAAGGTCACAAAAATATACTCACCTTTGTTACATCAAAAGGATTAAATGGAAACTTCTCAGCTTGTTCAAATGTCATAACTTGAATATAGAAAGTCCAAGAGGGGAAGTTTCCATTAGCAATTGCATTGTAAAGATCACGCAAGCCATAATCCGGATCTTCAGAAGCCAGCCTTTCTGCATCTTTGACACAAATGTTTTTAATTCCTTGATCAGTCTAAAATATTGAAAAGCAATCAGAATGTTAATTAGTAACTTGTTATCTATAATTATTAATGTAGAAATAATCTTATTCTTAACCCTAAGATAATAATCTGCATTAAAATAGAGCAGTTTAAAAATCTACTATGAGAGAATGTTTATAAAGCTGCTATACAAGAAACAAATCTAGATCCAAAGATATATCGTAAAATTGCATGTAGAAAAGACATGGGTGGAAGGAGTAAAATTTTCCATATACAAAGCCTGTTGCTAAAAATAATATTGTTATTATTTAGAAATGGGAACCGATATGAGTGCAAGTGGCTTTGCCTAGCAATTAAAAGCATAGCCAAAGATACATGGAATCATTAGGCACAGTCAGGGACAGACTTTTGATGGCTCAACACTGTGCAGGAAATGGTAACAATAGACCATAATTACCTTTGCATGAAATTTGCAGTATACTGCATTGCCGTAAGCATTGACTAGCTTAAACGTATGTGACCCATAGCCATTCATGTGACGGTGCCCATCTGGAATGCCACGATCGCTGAACAGGAATGATACCTACATGAGCCAAAACAACATACATAGACATCTTTAATGAGAACACAGAGACTATTGAACAACTGTCTCTTTCCGCAGAAAGGTATATTCCAGATATATTTTATACTTCATGCATATTCCCACCGAGCACTACCCAATATCTAGAATGTCATATGGCAGTTTCATGGCATTCATTCAAGAAACAAGAATAATTATGCTCTTTGTGGAGAATGCCTTTCTTCCTTTCAGCATACTCAGAGGAAAAACGGTGTCTGTGTCGGTTAGCAACATATTAAGGGAAGAATCATATACTCTGTTAAGTAAAAGTAAAACAATGTAGGCTGGTGACCCCCAGGGGGAGAGCCTTCTCTGTGGGGGCACCTACCCTCTGGAATCAGCTGCCCCCAGAGATAAGGAGAAACCAAGACCACAGTGCCTTCCGCCGTGCCCTTAAAACTCACTTTTTCCAGCAAGCCGGGCTGGCTTAGGAAGAAATTTTTTTAAAATTTTTAAATGTTTAATTGGTTTGTGGTTTTTTTAAATTTTGGGCCAAATTTATATAGATTTTAATTGTTTTTAATATTTGTGTTTCATGTTTTTAATTCTGGCTGTGCACCGCCCTGAGTCTTCAGGGAGAAGGGCGGTATATAAATTGAAAATAAATAAATAAATAAAAAATAAAAAGTTACATAAAGAAGGCAGTGTGGGATAGTGATTAAGTCACCAGGCTACAAATCAGGAGACCTGCCTTAGACACAAAGCCAACTGGATGACCTTGGGCCAGTCAATCTCTCTCAGCCCTAGGAAGGAGGCAATGGCAAATGACTTCTAAAGAAAACCCTTCTTAAGAATATATATATGTTCTTACTCTTGAGGAATATTCTATGGCAATTTTTTATAGAAATCAATTGAAGATAAACTTCTTCAGTGAAGATATTTATGAAATAATAACCATTCAAAAACAAGATCACAGTATATTTAATAGTGTCTGTTACTCTATTTCTTAGAACAAACCATTGTTTTAATTTCTGTAATTACTATCTTAAACACTTATGGTTTTATGGTGATGATTTTATTTGAGGAATTTATATTGCATTTGTATTTATACTGTTCCTTTGGTAAATTGTTGTAGGAAAAAGAGCAGTACAATAAATAAGTAATACATCTACAACTGAAACACAATTTCTTTGAACGTCTCTGAACTGTGTACAACAAAGAGTTAAACTTAAAACTCAGGAATTAATCAAAGAAAAGTGTTACTAATATCTCCCCAATTTTATTTTCCAGCTCAGAAATAAATGAATTGGAATTGGCTGTGTGAAGCTTAGTATTTCATATACGAGCTTATGTTGCTGAGCATTGATAACAAATTCTCATAATTAAACATTCTTTCAGTATAGCACTAGCCACATAATGGCAACACAGACTTTGCAAATCTTTCCATGGGGAAATTTTGTAGTTTCTTTTACATTTAAACAAACTTTGAAAACAATCTAATTTTTTGAATTATTTTGAATTTCAAAATAAGTCTTAAGATGGTCCAGCATGATTTTTTAAAAAAATCTTTTTAGCTGCTCTTTTGTATGTTATGACATTTTTATTGCTTTCGTTTTTTGCAAATACAAAGTATCAACAGATAAATAAAAATACGTGTTCTGCCCATTTAATTTAGGGCTTTTATACATGTACGGACATTTCTAGTTCCCTGTTTTATTGGCAAAGACAAACAAATGAATTTCAAGAAATCCTAGGCATTTCCCTATTTTATTTCCTTTCTTTCATGTTTGCAAGAGTGAAACAAGAAAGGGCTAAGAGCAGCTTTGATTATTTTGGCTTTTATATAAAAAATATCTTTAAAATATCTAAGAAAATAAAGATGCCATAGAAACTCAACCCAATTTTCTTGACAACTTTTTCTATAATAAGATATGTAATTTTATGTAGCAACCTAACAATCAAGTTTTTAATTTATATATTTGATCTTTGCCATTTCCTCTGAACTAAAGATGAAGGACACAGGGTCTAAAAGAAACAGACTAAAAGTAATTAAAAGGAGGTAAAAACTTACCTGATGCAAAGATTCAGGGCGAAGACTCCAGAAGTCCCATACCATGTCTGCATCTTTCAGATGTGTCTGTGGATTCCTCTTTTGACTATGGATAAAAGATGGAAACTAACAAGAGTACAAAAAGAAAGGATTAAAATGTTATACATTTGCATTAGAGTTAAATCTACTGCAGATTTCCTGCACGGGTTATGAGCTTGCTTTAAAAATATGCATTTATGAATCATAAAACATTCTGTCTGAATTTATTGTGCCAACTACTAAATTATCAGGATGAAAATAAAATGAACAAAACCCACTGAATTTTTATGTACAATCATTAAGACTGTAATGAAGAAGACTGGCACATTGCTTCTGCTTCCTTCCTTCTACTTTCAGTTACTCATTTTAGTAGGAAAACTCTTGTGAATGTATCATTGAAAATGAACATCAAAATTCAGATGCTTGGCAACTGACTCATATTTATGTTGACTGCAGTGTCCCCTGGTCATATTTGCAACCTTCTGACAAGCAAGGTCAATGGGGAAGCCAGTTTCACTTAACAACCGTGTTACTAACTTAATTATAGCAGTGATTCACTTAACAACTATGACAAGAAAAATGGGCAAAACTCACTTAACAACTGTTTCACTTAGCAACATAAATTTTGAGCTCAATTGTGGTTGTAGATCGAGGTCTACCTGTATTACCATACATTTTCCCCCATTTTAACTTGCATATTCAAGATAGGCAAATTAGAACTTCTGCATCCCTTTTTCTTGCAACATGTGGAACTTCCTATCACCATTATTCCTACAAATCTATGAAACAGTTTTATCCCATTTTGAGACAGAAAACACCCAAACCTTATAGGTTTCATTCTAAAATAAAGATTTCTTTCCCAGCTCAAACTGGGAATCCTAGTTTAGTCTCACCAATGACCACAACACAGTCCTTTTTATAAGATTTCTTGACTGATGGATTTATGCCCACTGCAATAAAAAACTGTAGGCGTTTACAATATGCCATCAAACAGCTATAGGTGTCCAGAAGGACCTATAATGGCAGATTCCAAAACAATGGCCACATTTAATATGCTCCAAGGCCTTTGACAGAAACCTGATTAAGAGCACATATGTTCCAATTTACCAGAATTGCATCTCTAATGAAGAAGATGGGAGTGTTGTTCCCTACAAGATCCCAATTTCCATCTTCACCGTAGAATTTCATTGCAAAGCCTCGGGGATCACGCACTGTGTCAGCTGAGCCTGCTTCTCCAGCTAAATAAAAAATAAAAAAATAAAAATAAAAATTCTCTATGATTAAATCCTATGCACCTAGTCTAATGCTTTGACCAACTTTGTCTATGTATTTACTTACTGTGGAATCTATAATCCGTACGTTGACATTTAAAAGATAAATACAGAAACAGAATTGCACAGCAGTAATTTAAATTTCAGGGGGATAGCAAGAGGTTTGGATGAGATGACTTAGAGAAATGGAAAACGTACTTGAAGATTATCTTTTAAATTTAAATAATGCGCTGAATTATTTCTTGTACCAATTGTGGTCATTAGTCAAGGACTACCCATACATCACTACTCTTTTTCAAATGCATGCAGCAATAAATATGCCTATGTTTCTGCTATTCATAAAACCTGTTCAAGAATACACAGCTATTAATCCTAATATTCTACTAAAAATTAAGAAAATATAAGGAATCAACATTTCATATTAAAGGTATTACTTATTAAATGACTTACTGCCCAGTGTCAATTAAAAACAGCACATAAAAATCCGTTGAAATAGATTAAAATATTGAATTGATATATAAATAAGCACATATATTCAATAAAAGCTTTTTATGTATAAATAAATAAGATACACTGAAAATCTGCAAGATCCTTACCAACAGTTGAAAATCGAATAGCCATTGGAGTTCTTTTGCCTATGTGCTCAAATACCTTTGCTTTGCAGAATTTGGTGATATCATGAGTCACTTCAAAATAGCCAAATGCTCCTGAAAAATTAAAAGAGGTTAGTTTATTACAATTTTAAAAAGATTGTTCCAAAGTTCACAGATTTGCAAAGAATATTAGTTATGGTAGATGAAGCAGAAGATAATGTTTTCATTATTATCAGCAGCTTATAAGTACACATTTTATGCTTTTTTTTTTTTTTGAAATGCTGATGGTTACTATAAATATACTAGCTCCTTTTAATGGAAATTGATTCAACAAAGGATTTTCCTAACAAAAAGGAAGGCATCAACTTTGAACAGCGAATGGACAACATATAAATTGAATCAAACGAACAATTTTCATTAATTTTTCTTTCTGATATATAGACAGACAGACAAGACAAGATAAGACAAGACAGACAGACAGACAAACATTTATTGTAATTTTTTACTGGCACACATTAAAAATGAAATTCTATTGCCTGCTCTCAAAAGTGTACACATACATAACACACACACACATATATCTACACCCATTCACATCCATCCATCCATCCATCCATCCATCCATCCATCCATCCATCACTGTCCAACTTGAATACATAACGGAAAGAGGAAGCTTGAGAGTTTAGAAGGTTGATACTATATGGAAAGAAACTGCAACTGAATCTGGATGTTCTGCTTCAGATATCAACAGGTCGTGAAAAGGATGTGTAGTGTCCCAGACAATACTGCAGACCCTGGTCAAGAATCGCTTATATGCTATGTCCTGGATAGACGGAAGCGAACTGCCAATAATATTTCTCAGAGAAAGATTATTGGCAGTTCACTTCCGTCTCTGCACTGCCTTCCTGCACTGTCTCTACCAGTCTCTGCACTGCCTTCCTGTCCGAAGCAGTAATGCTTCCAAACCAGACTGTAATGCAATATGACAGTATGCTCTCAATCATCCCTCTACAGAAAGTGGTAAGGACAGGGGAAGGAAGATGAACTTCTCTCATGTGACACAGAAAATACAGGCGCTGCTGTGCCCACTTCACCAGTGTCTCACTGTGGAATGACCAAGCCAGCCTACTTGTTAGCTGCACACCCAGAAACTTGATGCTGTTAATCACCTTCACAGGTGAATCATTAATACTCAAGAGGTGTGTGACTGTGCCTGCCTTTTCTGAAATTGTCAACAATCTTTTTAGTTTTTCCAACATTTAAAATAAGGCTGTTTTTATTCTCCATATCCAATATGGACTGTTGATCATATAGCAGTTTAACATTACAACTCTGCTTTCTTGTCCCTATTCTTAAAAAGTCATTCAATCCGGATGGCTCATTCTTTACCAAAACCCCGACCTTTGAGAGCTAAAAATAGCTGCAGCCAAGCAAGGCTCACACTTATATCAAGCATACCAATTATTTGACTCTGAGCCATTACACACAAATGGACTTTCCAGATTGAGTAATGGTGTTTTCTGAATATTTCTACATGTAGCTTATCATTCTTTATTAGATTTGTATAAAGAAAAGGTGCATTAAATGTAAGAAAAAAAAGCTAAATTAAACATTAAAACATGATAGTGAAACTATGGCTACATCAATAAGAAGCTCTGAATCGTAAAAGTGTTTCTGGAGTAATAAATGAAAAGTAATTTTTCTCTAGAGAATACTTATTTCTGGATGTTCATTTAAAAATTTTGCGAAAAAATGTTATGAGTCAATTAAAAGTTGACAAGTAAATTATATTTATAAGTGCTTGGTAAGTATAACACAATTAAGCAAAGATTCAGTAGAGTATACAACAAAGTGAAAAAAGTTATAAAAAAGAACTCTTTCTCAAATCTTAAAAGAATGTTAATCTGATTCTAATATTTCCTGGTTACTTTAAAACCATTTTAAAGCTTCAGTTTTTAAAGAAAAAAGTGTTATTTACTTGTATCATTTAGCTAAATAAATTCAGCAAAGGTAAATAAAAACAAGACAAAACATAACAACTTCAAATGTCCCACAAGTGGATAGATTACAGATAATTCAAGTTCCTAATGAAGAAAATCAGTAGCAGAAATCTATACTGCTATAAGGACTATCATTGGCTACCCCTCAGAATATTGTATCAGCATCACAGAATAAAAATAGATTCCTGAATAGAATGATACAAGATGCAGTTTCAGTGTTGTCAATCACAAAAACGTACCTACATTCTATAAGGCAGGGATCCCCAACTCCCGGGCCACAGCCTGTTTGAAATAGGGTCATGTGAGTGATGGGCAAGCATGCACGCGCAAATCTCCACTTGCATGAGCGGTAGCCTCTTATACTCATGTGCAAAACTCCACTTGCTCGAGTTGGGGCGCTGGAGTGGAGGGCGTTTGTGCTCGTGCACAAAGAGAGCTTCATGCATGAGTACTCTCCACTCACGCGTGAGCTCAAGCACCCTCCAGTCACGCAAGTGGAGCTTTGTGCACAAGCACAAGTGCCTGCTCTCACAAAAGTGGAGCTTCATGTGTAAGAACAAGTGCCCTCTGCTCAAGTGCAAAGCTCCATTCATGCAAGTAGAGGGCATGCGCACCCACTGTTCACACCAATGGAGCTTTGCGCACGTACATATGTCTACCACTCACATGTCACCCCGCACCATGCCAAGGTGGAAAGGTTGGGAACCGCTGCTGTAAGGGACACTGTAACATTACCCCATTAACAAGGCTAAAAAGAAAGACACTGCAAATTCAAAAACTAACCAGCTCCTTTGGCATGGACAACTCTCTCAGGAATCCTTTCTCGGTCAAAGTGTGCCATCTCATCAGTGAAAACCACATCCTGAACCAGGAGTGGGCCTCTTGGACCAACGGTCAGGACATTCAGCTTGTCTCCTATTGGGATTCCAGCTCCTGTAGTTAAGGAATCGGCTTCCTAGGTTCAAAACAAAAATCAAGTTATAACAACAAAAGCATCCACAACTTTTTAATGGTAACTTGAAAGCAATCCGAGATTAATTTGACAGACATCTGATGAAATTTGCTTCCTAAAGCTACAGGAAAATGTTTATCTTAGACTTTATTATTTCATAATCTGAATAAAGAGATTAGCTATGCACTCAATAAAATTCCAAATAACACCACACCAAAAGAAGAAAAGTGCAACATTTAAAAACATTCTCCCAGTTACATATATTTCCAGATTGAAATATTAAAAAGTAAGGCAAATTATTATTAGGGCTAGTTCTGTAAGGGAGACGAGACCAAATTTATTTATATGTTTAATTAATGTATAGGCCATCTGTCTTATATACATGATTCTTGGTCGCTCACAATTAAAACAGAAGAAAAAACAATATAAAACAACCAGAATTTTAAAAAATAGCAGCCGAAAACATTCATACAATGGCTCACACAAACCATTTAGCAGACTCACACAAGCTGTGTCAGGGTCCAGGCTCAATAGCAAAGCCAGGATTTGTGCTTTGCAAATGGCCAGAAGAGTTTGGACAAATGTAATTCCAAGAGGAGATGATGCTCTCAAAGACCGGTACAACAGCAAAAAGAGCCTATTATTTAAATGAAGCTAGGTGGACCACTTTGGCCACCTAATGAGAAGGAAGGACTCACTGAAGAAGAGCTAATGCTGGGAAAGATTGAGGGCAAAAGAAGAAGGGGATGACAGAGAAAGAGGCGGCTGGATGAAGTCACTGAAGCAGTCGGTGTGAGCTTAAATGGACTCCAGAGGATGGTAGAGGACAGGAAGGCTTGGAGGAACATTGTCCATGAGGTCGCGATGAGTCGGACACAACTTTGCAACTAACAACAACAAAAAATGCAGACACCAAAGAGGTGGGTTTTTTTCCTTGATAGATGTTTCTCTGAGTCAGCAAATGAATATAACCACAATTCTTAGAATGACAACTCTTTTCAAAGATGTATTATAATAAAGGACTTCAGTTCAAGGATATTAGATTTCCATGTCACAAGATTTAGGAAACTACATTTCCTACATTTGTAAGTGCTTCACTTAAGAAAGTTGAAAGGACTTGGCAGTAAGGCAATGACAGAGGGTTGCATCTTGTTGTCACCTCTGCAATGTCAAGTACTTTCTTGAGTAACTTTTCCTGCTTTGGAGGAAATGTATTGCACATGTCTATCCTCATTTCAAAAGAAATGTTGCACTCAAAAGACCTCTGAATAGCTAGAGCACAATTGATAGAGCAGCACGACTTGAGACATGCATGCAAAAAAAAAAAAAAAAATCAGTAGGATGGGAGTTGAATTTTCCTTACCTTTTCACATGCTTTGAAAAGAAGTCTTCGCTATTTTTAAAGAGGTTTGTGAAACATTCAAACGGCTGAAAGTTTATTTATAGAACTAGAGATGGATTAACGTTGTCACTTCTCTTATATGCAGCAACATGACAAATTAAGGTATGTCAAGTGATAGGTATACAGAGAATCACTATGGGTTGCATGGATTAATGCACTATATATATATCCAGTTGCATGTTTCAGGATGTTTCATCACCAGTTCTCAGAAAATAAATATTCCCACACAAACTCTTGACGAATCTCATGACTCTGCTATACTGGTAAATAAGCCATTAAATTACCTTTTTAGGTTGTCTCATATATTATGTTTTTGAATGTGCCCTCGGCATTTTACTCAAGTAAAGACACAATTTCAACCTAGGCTTCACTCTTGCTTTAAAAAACATCATTGGAGAATTGCAAATGGGAATTCTGCACTTTGTTTCATATATTTGAAGATTCACACATCCTTCATAATTCATGATTGACTAGGGTTGCATTTAGCAAGTGCCGATTTATCTAGGTATTCAAATCATCCAGTTGTTAAACAGGATAGTCCAATGCATCCCACTCAAAAATGAAGATAAGAAAGATAAGAAAGGGATTATGCACAATGAAATTCCGTAGGAATTGTTAACAAACTGGAACCTACTTTTTCACCTGAGTAAATTAATTAAAAAAATTATCCTATTTAGAAACAACATGGATAAAGCATTCTGGGTAATTTTAAAGAAGAAACTATAGTAATTTTTTTTTTTTAATGGAGAGTACAGAGAGAAAAAAGGTTGAAGTGATATTTTTCTTTAGAAACAACAATCTGAGGATTTGTTGGCGTTAATCCCTGCACAAAAAGATTGCTGGATTCCATTAACAAGTTACTCAATGTTACTATTTCAGTTGGAGATTTAAAAATTGTGAAAGGAATACATAGCAATGCAAAGATGATATTTGGACAAGTTTATGCTGTTCTTCTTTTGTTCCTTGTCCATTGACAAAAATCAATCAGAAGATCATTTACCAATTCATCCTGTAATCCCTTTCAAATGTTGAAGTTCAGGTAATATAGAGTGCACTGCGCTACTCAGTAACAAGTGTGAATTATTTTGAAGCATCTGCACTGCTTGATATTGTCTTTCTAGACCAGAGGTCTGCAACCTTAAACACTCGAAGAGCCATTTGGACCCATTTCCCACAGAAAAGGAAACACCGGGAGCCACAAAACCCTTCCCATGCCTGACTATTTCTTGAGCGGCCACACAACTAGCATACGTAGTTGAATTAAATGTTCTGTTTTCGTCTGAAACTTTTATTTTCTTGGATTTATCCATGGTTGGCCTAACGGGGGTTGAAAGGCTCAATAAATTTGTGCTGGCGGTGTCGCATATTGGCAGTTGTGTCACATATTTTGAGCGACAGGGAGCCACAGCAGAGGGGTGAAAGAGCCACATGCTGCTCCAGAGCCGCAGGTTGCTGACCCCTGTTCTAGACCTAATGCAGAGTGATGGATCTGACTACTAAAGCTCAATTGTTTCTATCCAATTGTCCTAATAATTCTTAGCACTGATAATTCTTTAACGAGACTCATGTGAGTAACACAGTTTTATCCTCCTTATATAATTAGGTTTTCTTTTTCTCTAAGGATTTTGAACTTTAGGAAGGAGAAAAGCAGTGCAAAACAATTTATTAATGTTGCCTTGTCTTGTATCATTAAATTCACGCTTTGCCTAGCTGTCGTGGAACGGTGTAATCTTTGTCTGGGACAGTTTTTCACAGCTTGTTCTTATTCTCATCATTTGTGCAGTTCAGGAACAAATGCCATGCACACAGTTTTTAAACATTTCTCAGGATCATTTGACTAAAATTTACTGTGTCCAACAATATGGGAAACTTGATCAGAATTTGGTCAGAATTTACTGAGAAATATTATGGTGTGATTATGTAAAAAAGTAGACTTTCTCAGATCTCTTGACTTCTTGTGTATTTTCCCAGATATCCAAGTTGACTGATCTGTAGTTTTCTGGAGTCACTTTTCGTCCTTTTTTATAATATTAGGATAACACTGGCTCTTTCTCCAAACTTCAGGCACTTCTACCCTCAAAGATTAGTCAGTGGCTCTGAGATGACAACCTGCAACTTTAGCAATTTACTATCTATTTATTAACCAAAACCCCTGAGCACACACTGCCAGGAGCACAGGGAGAAGTTCAATGTAAGCAGAATTCTCGTTACACATAACCATGTGAAAAAGCTGCAGAAATCTTGAAATCAGATTACACTGAAAGTCCCTCAAGATCTGTTTTGGCAGAAAAATGCTTCTCTGGGATTTAAAGTTGAGCAAACCATGGGGATATATCCATAATCTTTATGATAAGAACAACTCTTAAAAATAGTCTTATAATAAAAGTTTCTAACCAAGGTTGGTAGATATACTGCACTCAAGAGTTCTGAGTGCATAATAAATAATAAAGCAAGGAAAAGAAGTTTTTCCAATCTTTTCCTGCGTTATGAAAAGTAGTTCTCTAATATAATTTACTTCTATGAAACATTCAAAACATGGGAGCTTGATTATAGGACCAAGTGAGAAAATTCTCCAATACAGGTGGATGATATTTCTCATACTGTAGTGATGTGGCAAATTAAGGTGTGTCAAGCTAAATGTGCAAGAGAATCACTATGTATTAATGCATATTCTAGTTGCATGCTTCAGGGAAGTTTCATCACAAGACTTCATAAAACAAAAAATATTCCCACACTTCCAAAACTTTTGATAAATTGTCTTTTATTTAATGCTGTGCTACCTGGATAAGAAAGCCATTAATTCCAAGCCTTCAGGGCCATATTCAATATCAGAAATCTTTAAGAACTATTATTAAATTGTAATTTTTTTAATGCAAAAATTGGTAAAAATAACTATAGCATATAAATTGCTAGAGAGTAATCAAATTAACTAGTTTCAAATTTAATTGTTTAAAAATATTAATGTAGTAGTAATTTGATTTATGTGCTTATAAGAAAAAGACAGTACACTTACAGAATAAAACAACAAATCTAACCAAATCAGTTTTGTCCACACCCTATTTACTTTGTATTAATGCATTTGTGCAATGCACTTATCCAATTCTAGGTTTCAGAACGGACTGTACAAAACAGGAATATTCCCACACTGCTTTATAAATGTTTTATCTTTCATTTTTCTCCTGCAAGGATCTTGCAAGGATCCTGCAAGGAAAGTGAAACGTTCCTCCTTTCCAGTCACCGCTGCCCGTTGGCCGGATTCCCCAATGCAATTCTCAGAGCTGCGTTTCAGGCGGCGGCCAATTCCCCTGCAATGTGCAGCAGGGAACCAGGAACCATTTTGGATTTGGGGAGGAGATCGCAGTGCTGCCGCCTGAAAATGCTTTTTTTCCCATTGCACATTGCAGAGCCACGCGCCTTTGTCCTCCTTTTCAGCAGACTCACCTTCTCTTCCTCCTGGCCAGATCCACTACCTGAAACACGATGCACTATTTTTGCCTCTGCACACCCCATGTTTGGAATCGGGAAGGGGCTCACGGGTCTGCCGCCCGAAAATGCTTTCCTTTGGAATTGGCTCTGAGAATTGCATTGGGGAATCTGGCCA